GACATGGTCTATTTTATGTGGCAACTAAAAAAGAGACCAAATCCACTATTGGGTCTATTTTGGACCCAAGTATAAACCTGGACAGTCAAAAAGTATTCCTAATCTAATTTTTCTTTTAATATGAAACATATTAGAACATTTTTATTGGTTGACAAGTATTCTAGACCTATTATTTTATTTTTGCACTGAATAACTTTTAGGTTTTATTTACTTGGGTTATCCATGTCATTCAGGACTTAAGTCAATTTGTATGCCACATATGTAAAGTTAGACTCAATGCATCGCGGGTGTTCTATTGTCACATATGCATGACTCAATTCACTTTCACTTGTATTGAAAAATATTTTTCTTCTAGATAGATATATTTCCCAGGTGGCATGTAGTTATTTTGAATGAAACCCAAAACATTTTAGATGATCTAATGGTGAAGTATATGCATAATCTTTTATTGGTCAAAAGTGAGACAAAATATAATTTTGGTGAAGTATTGGCATAGTCTTTTATTGGTCAAAAGTGAGAAAAATATTAACTGAAACAAATTCAAGTTGCTCATGAAGCCACAAATACTATTTTCAAAATTTTGCTCTTAGTTGGCGTTTGAACAAAAATATAATTACATACTTTATAAAATATTGTAATTGTATATATATTGATTTTTGAAGTACTTTTTTTAAGGTCAACTTTATAATATGATTTACCATAAGAAAAAAAAAAATATATTTGAATATATGTTCATACAATTAGTATCTTGTATTCGGACAAATCATTAATTATAAAGTTCACATGAAAAATGTATGTGTACATCATAAATAACTATTCAGTTTGTAAGAAATTATAACTCTATTTGTACATATTTTTAAAGATAAAATGAGTAATTGTTTCAATGCGATACGAATTGTAAGGAATTGAAGATTTTAATTTGTGCTATGACGATGTACCAAAAATTCAAACAAAAAATGTTATGTATAAAGAGATGTTTAATAATATATAAATAACATTTTATTTTATTCCAATAAATGCGTTTTATGTTTTGAACAATGATCCCATCAACCAAATCAAAATGTTTCTCTTAATATTATTAACTCGTGCATCGCATGGTACCACACTAGTAGTATCTTAATACACATGTCCGGAAGTGGTTTAAGGAAAAAAAAATATTATAGGTACATAATATTGTACATATGAGTGTATATAACACTCACATTGAGTGGGACCGACCAAAAATAAAAAATCAAGTGGACCCCACTCCATGTGAGTGTTATGTATATCTCTATGTATATATATATATTATGTACTTGTAGCATTTTTCTTAAAAATATATGCTAAAAAATAATTACAAAATGTATATAAACATTTATTCCAAACATTAAGTATGAGACAACAAAAAGACAAAATAATCAGCCGATAGTCAACCAACAGGTAAATTACTCCGTTAACAAGAAAATTTAATTTAAATATATGCACCATTTTTTTAATTTTAATAAAATTAAGTTAACTAATTATTTATTGAATATTCAAATTAAATATATAACTTTTAGTAAAATTAAAATATTATATATTTTGTGTCATGTGAAAGTAAAAATAATTTTAAATAATATTTTATCTTAATCATTTATATTATAGACCCGCACATCATATTGGATATTGGTGCATGATCTAATTTATATACAAATATAAACAAAGCAAAACTTATTTCACCAAATTGAAAATAAAATCAATAAATGTCATTCCCTCTTATGCTAATTGGATTGGAATTACAATTTAGTTGAATTAAAATCGACCCCCAACAATGGATGGAGTAGAAAGACATGGAATTATTAACTGTAATAAGTGGCTTAGAATTAAATGACTTCGTTGAATCAATATAATAAGTAATTAATGAAATGAGTGCTTTCGGAAAGATGAGAAGAGAAATAGAAATGGAAAAGTTCGTGAAATAAGCAATCCATGACGAGTTTCTACAATTTCAAATATTACTATAATTTTGTTATTTCTTTTGGAGATATCTAAATTATTATATTTGAAATTATTGTCAAAAGAACCAAAATTAAAGGCCAAAAATAAATAAATTGTGGCAAAATTGTTGGGAGCATAAATTTACATGTAAAAAGAAAGGGACAATAATTTAAAAGATTTGATCCTAAAGTTGTATTGCATTTATCGATTTTCTTCAACATTTAATTAACACAAATATTTATACATGGGTGTGTATATTTGTGTTGATTTAATGGTAGAAACCTGATTAAATCTACCCAATAACTAATAATAAAATGGCAAAAAAGCCATTTTTATAGGAAGACGTGTGGAATCATGCAAAAGTTTTAATTTCTTTTGAGGATAGAACGTATTTTTGCAGGTCTACGAGAAGTGACCGGTTTGAATAGCGAGATGAGACCTCTTGAGCATGGTATCACCATATTTAGCGGCTTTACTAGTTCAATATGTCAAGGCGTGTTCATATTCTGTAGGTGCACTGGGTATTGACCGAACAGTAAGAATTCGAGTTAAAATGGGAAGATCTATCCAGATCGTACTCAGTAG